TTGTACCCATCATCCAGCTTCAACAACTACCAACTCATGGTCAATCATCTTTCCTCTATACCTCCTATTTCTTAGAATTAAATTCATGAATGTGAATACTTTGGTATAATTGTAAGACATTATAAAAAAGAAAAGAAAAGAAATGTGACTGCTAGGCCTCTCTCACTGTCTTTAAAATGCCTGGGTGGGTGGCGGTGAGCAGAGTAGAGAGAAGGAGCATTTTTTTAGGGGTTGGAACATTTTGTGGAACAATTTCCTATAATGGAAAAAATTGAGAAGGGTGAGAGGAAGGAATAGTGATTATTATGTGCCAGGTGTTGTGCACTGGTATTGAATTTCACCGTTCTGGGAGATACAGGTATGACATACCCATTTTAAAGATAAGGCTCAGAGATGTTGAGTGCTGTATCTTCAGCGAAGTTGGGATTGGAACCCAGCTGTGTGTGGCTTCAAGGTCTGTGTTCTCCACCCTCTTATAGGATGACCCTGCAATGCATATTAAACCAAATCCATCCGTGGTCTGAGGCTCTCCCTCCCCACCATGTACCTAAATACAGGGCCATTCACAGGACCTGGGGGTTAAGCCCTGGGGGTTACTCCAACATTTTGGAGAAGGAAGGGTTTCCAGGCCCAGAGTGCCAAAAGGGGAATTCAGTTTCTTATTAAAAGGAGTTCATTTCCTCCTGTTGCATGTCCTAAAAAAATGACTGCCTGGAGTCCCAAAGAATTTGCAAGTAAGTTTGTAGGCCAAGCGTGGTGGCTCTTGCCTATAATCTCAACACTTTGGGAGGCTGAGGCAGGAGGACTACTTTCGTCAAGGAGTTTGAGACCAGCCTGAAAAACACAGCAAGACCTGTCTCTACACACACACACACACACACACACACACACTAGCTGGGCATGGTGACACACACCTGTAGTCCTAGCTACTTGGGAGGCCGAGGTGGGAGAATTGCTTGAGCCCAGGAGTTTGAGGCTGCAGTGAACCATGATCATGCCACTGCACTCATCCTGGGTGAAAGAGTGAGACTGTGCCTCAAAATAAATCAATAAATAAATAAATAAACTGTAAGGAGTTTAACAATAAAACACACATATACTGGTTAGGATAAGCCATTTGTGGGAAAAATCTAAGAGACTGTGTGTTTAAGTGTGTTCTTGAATAGATTAGACTGGATTTGATTGCAACTCTAAGGGAGTAAATCAAGCCCCAATTACTTTTAGGGGAAGGAGTCCCAGTTCTAAGAGAAGGAAGCTGACCAGCCATGGCCGCTTGGAAAATGACAAGTCTCAGGGGCAAATGCTGACAAGGTCTGTCCATTCAGTGTCTAGCCAAGAAGAAAGCTTGGCAAGCAGACTTGAGCAAAGAGGTTTGCTGGGCAAAGCAACCCCTCTAGTGGGTAAGAGCTCCTTGAGCTGAGAGATATGTCTTCCGCCCAACCTTTGCTCCAATTCCTTGCTCACTCTTCTGGATAATTTGGCTTCTTGGGTATTCGTTTTTCAGCAGGGAAAGAACAAGGTGCTCTGGCTCGTATGAACTTCCAGTACTCTCGAAAGTTGATTTTCTCATTATAAATGAATAAATTGGCTTTCTGGTTATAACTTGGCTTCTCCAGTAATTTGCCTCCAGGGAGGGAATGGACTGATCTCCCTACTAGAATGTGCTGTCTGCTCGCCAGCCTAACTTCTCTTTGTAAGTGAATAAATGGGCTTCCTGTAGTTTATGTACCAACCTCTCAGGGGTGCCTGGTTAATGCCTGGTTTCCTGGGGAAGAAGGCCCAGGTGAGAAGTGCCAATAAACAGGTCTCCTGGCCTGCAAAAGAGCAGACCCCATAGGTGGAGAATTCAATAAGGCAATGAATGTGGTCTCCTGGGGTCTCTTGGGAAAGAGCTGGTGTCTGAACCACAGTAACACGTGGCCTTAACACGAGGAACTGAACCTTCATGCCCCAAAGGAAGCAAGTTTGGATCTTTTCACCCCCAAGCAGGTTATTCCAGCTCAGTGAGGAGAATCCCTACTTTATTCCCATTGGCATGAAACAAAGAGGTTCTCGGAAGCAATACTTTGCCATGTCGCTCCTTCCCTTAAAATCCTTTGACAACCTTTTATTACTTAGAGTATAAAGTCCAAACTCCTTGGCAAGACTTGCCTTTATGACAGGAAAAATAAAAAATTATTGCTGCATGATTTCATCAAATCAAATCCCCTTATAACTGCAAGGTGTTTTATTATTTGAAGTATTAAATAGTACTGTCAATGAAACTATGAGATCCCAATGATCATAAAACACATCCAATTTCAGATAGATTAAAATGTGGAAAATATTCAAGTCTGAAAGTTGCTAAAATATGGTATTTAAAATGAAAGCTGAGAGTTGTAATTTTTTCCTTTTAGGGGAGAGATACAATTCATTTTAAAGAGAAATAATTCTGGCCAGGTGTGGTGGCTCACACCTGTAATCCCCGCACTTTGGGAGGCCAAGGTAGGCGGACAACTTGAGGTCAGGAGTTTGAGACCAGCCTGACTAACATGGCAAAACCCCATCTTTACTGAAAATACAAAAATTAGCCTGGCATGGTGGTGCGCACCTGTAATCCCAGCTACTCAGGAGGCTGAGGCAGGAGAATCGCTTGAACCTGGGAGGTGGAGGTTGCAGTGAGCCAAGATCGCACCACTGCACTCCAGTTTAGGCGACCGAGCAAGACTCCATCTCAAAAAAAAAGAAAGAATTCTGTTATTTAGGAAAACACTGTCATGAATTTTATATTTTTGAGACAGTCTGGCCTATATGCTTAGGCTTAGATAAGTGAGAACAAGTGAGAGAGACAGAAAGAAACGGAGAGAGAGGGGAATTACTCTATACCGTAAGGAACTAGTGCTTTCCTTGCTGCCAGAAGAGTGGGGATGGGGAGACATGAGGAAGGTCTAAATTCAGAGCAGTATTCTCTAGAATCACCTGGGAGTTTTCAAATGCATGCCCATGTGGCCCCACTTTCACAAATTCAGACTAAAATGATTTGAGTTGAGTACTGGGAATTGGTTTTTTATAAGCTTCTAGGAGATTGGAACTGGTGAGACAGAGGAGGTGGCAGTCACAGGTGCTTAAGGAGATCAAGTTGACTGATAAGAACCTTCCCATAGTGGAGGTGGCCTGTGCAAGGGGGGGCTGCCAAGGAAGTGGTTTCCTGTCTGTGCTGTAGCCGCCTTTGGCTCTCTCATGCCTGCAGTGTGAGCTGGCTATCCCAGCACTTGGATGTGAGTGGTGTTTTGGGGAAAGGAGGAGAGTGCGTTGCTGCCCAGAAAGGAAGATGCAGAGGACAGACTTCAGGGACCAACTGCAGCAGCGGAGCTGAGAGCAGCGAGTTACAGAGGCCCAGGGCCACAAGGCCCAGGGCTGGGAGAGCACCACCTCGCCCTACCCCCAGAATCACACCAAATCCTCAGGGATACTGGGTTTCCCACTGTTGGTGACATGGCTGTTTCAGCTTTTCCATTTGAATATTGAATGAGAGGATCATGCCTGAGGGCTTGAGGAACTGGGGACATTCAGAACCATCACTGGTTTTGTCACGTGTTTGATGATCTGGTTCCTGCCCACCTATTCCACCCCCTCCACACCTATGGCCTTACCCTCACCTCTATCCTGGGCTGCTTGAAATACCTATTCACCTTTAAAGACTCAGCCGAAGGTTTACCTGCTCTGAGAAACCATTTTTTGCCCTCCGCTGTCCTTCACCTCCACTGGAGTGGATGATTTCCTCCTGCTGCTCCGATGGATCACCTGCAGGCCTCTCAGCATGCCTCCGTTCTGGGTTGAACTGTGTCCCCACAAAAGATAAGTGGGCATCGTAACCCCTGGTGCCGTATGTGACCTTATCTGGAGATAAGGTCCTTATAAATGTTATTACGTTAATATGAGGACATGAGGGTGAGCTCTAATCCCTGGGACTGGTGTCCTTATACAAAGAGAAAAATTTGGACACAGAGACAGACATGCACAGAGAGTAGGCCATGTGAAGATTAGAGTTTATGTTGCCACAAGCCAAGGAAGTACACTGGGGAGAGGCCTGGAGCACATCCCTCCCCAGCTCTGCCAAAGGGGAGGAATACACCAAGAGAATAATTAACAGGGGAACCTGGCTAATTCCAGATAGCTTCTCGAGGAAAGTGACATTTGAGGTGAGCAGAGAGGAAGAGCCCTGCTGACACCTTGGTTTTGAAATTCTAGCCTGCAGAACTATGACATGGTAAAATTCTGTGGTTTTAAGCCACTGTTTGTGGTACTCCGTTATGGCAGGCCGAGCAAATTTGTACAGACTCTGACATGTCAGTGACTTCATGTTTTTAGGTCTGTTACCCCCACTAAACTATAAACCCCTCAAAAGCAGAGACTGCCTTACTCACCTTTGCACTTCATCTAACAACACCTAAATGTTTGTTGAATGAATCAGTAATTACAGTCCATCCCGTTTCCTGAATCTACTCTCAGGAATGGCATATGGTGGTAGAAAATGCCAGGTGCTTAGTTGGCTGCTGTTACCAGCTCTGCTGCCATCTGTCCATGACTGTCATCAATAACCACAGCAATGACAATGACCCTAGTTTCAGCTAGCATTCAGTGGGCATCAAACTGTGTGAGAGGCTGGGCGCAGTGGCTCACGCCTGTAATCCCAGCACTTTGGGAAGCTGAGGCAGGTGAATCACAAGGTCAAAAGTTCAAGACCAGCTTGACCAATATGTTGAAACCCTGTCTCTACTAAAAATACAAAAACTAGCTGAGCGTGGTGGGGCGCGCCTGTAGTCCCAGCTAATTGGAAGTCTGAGGCTGGAGAATTGCTTGAACCTGGAAGGTAAAGGTTGCAGTGAGCCAAGATCATGCCACTGGCACTCCAGCCTGGGAGACAAGAGCAAGACCCCATCTCAAAAAAAAAAAAAAGAAAAAAACAACTATGAGAATACATTTATTCAGTCAGTCACTCAAAAACCATTGAGTGGTACTTGCTTTGGCAGCATATATACTAAAATTGGAATGATACAGAGAAGATTAGCACAGCCCCTGAGCAAGAATGACACGCAAATTTGCGAAATGTTTTATATTTTTAAGACTCGTGCACAAATGTCACAAGCAGCTTCATCTGAAATCGCAAAAACCTGCAAACAACCCAGACATCTAACAACAGGTTAGCAAACAAACAAGTTGTGGTATACTGGCATATCTGTGCAGTGGAATAATTCTTAGCAATGAAAAATAATGAATTGTCCATACAGGCATCAATGTAGATGAACCTCAAAATAATTATGAATGAAATTAGCTAAAAAACAAGTACCTATTATACCATTCCATTTATATAAAAATCTAGAAAATGCAAGCTAATATATAGTGACAGGAACAAAGCAATCATTGCCTAAAAATGGGGAGAAGCAGGGGACAGGAGAAAGGGGTCACCAAGGGGCATAAGGAAACTCATGGGGGTGGTGGATACATTCAATATCTTGATTCTGGTGATGGTTTCAAATTGTACACTTTAAATATGTTCAGTTTATTATGTGTCAATTATCTTCACTAAAGCTATTATAATAAAAAAAAAAACCATCGAGTGACTCTCATGGGTCAGGTTCTGTGCTAGGAACTGAGGATAGAGCGCTAACCAAAGACCTGCCTGGTCCCAGCCTTCATGGAGTTTATAAACTAACAGGTGAGATGGATCAAGTAGTTACATAATTACTATGGAAGAGTACAACAAGAGAATAATTAATGGGAAACCCGGGTACCCCAGAAAGCTTCTCAGGAAATGTGATGTTTGAGCTGGGCAGAGAGGGATTTGTAGAAATAAGTGAGGCAAACAGGTAAGTGAGCATGTTCCCAGTGGAGGACACAGCATGTGTGAAGCCTGTTCATTCAACAATTATCAGCCAGGTGTAGTGGCTCAGGCCTGTAATCCCAGTACTTTGGGAGGCTGAGGCATGTGGATCACCTGAGGTCAGGAGTCCAAGATCAGCCTAACCAACATGGAGAAACCCTGTCTCTACTAAAAATACAAAATTAGCTGGGCATGGTGGTGTATGCCTGTAATCCCAGCTACTTGGGAGCCTGAGGCAGGGAAATCGCTTGAACCCAGGAGTTGGAGATTACGGTGAGCCGAGATTGTGTCATTGCACTCCAGCCTGGGCAACAAGAGTGAAACTCCATCTTAAAAAAATAAAAAATAAAATAAATAAACAATTATCTACTGAGATCTCATATGGGATAGGCACTTGTTCTAAGTCCTGCATACAGCAGAAAACAATAAAGATCTCAGTTTTTGTGGGCTGGCATGGTGGCTCATGCCTGTAATCCAAGCACCTTGGGAGGCTGAGGCGGGTGGATTGCCTGAGCTCAGGAGTTCAAGACCAGCCTGGGGAACATGGTGATACCCTGTCTCTACTAAAAATACAAAAAATTAGCCAGGCATGGTGGTGTGCACCTGTAATCCCCCCTACTTGCGATACTGAGACAGGAGAATCCCCTGAACCCGGAGGCAGAGGTTGCAGTGAGCCAAGATCGCACCATTGCACTCCAGTCTGGGTGACAGAGCAAGCTCCATCTGAACAACAACGAAAGACCTCAGCTGTTGTGAAGGTCACCTTCCAGGAGCCTGACAGAGGTGAGCAGGAAGAAGTGGGGAAATAAGAAAGTCCTGGCAGGTGTCTTCCAGGACATGAAATTGAAGAGGCCTGACCCACTGAATCTCTTTTTTTTTTTTTTTCTTCTGAGACGGAGTTCGCTGTTTCATGAAGGCTGGAGTATAGTGTTGTGATCTTGGCTCACTGCAATCTCCGTCTCCCGGGTTCAAGTGATTCTCCTCTCTCAGCCTCCCGAGTAGATTACACCACACCTGGCTAATTTGTGTATTTTTAGAAGAGACTGGGTTTTACCATGTTGGCAAGACTGGTCTCGAACTGCTGACCTCAAGTGATCTACCCAACTTGGCCTCCCAAAATGCTGGCATTACAGACATGAGCCACAGTGCCTGGCCTCACTGAATCTGCCTTTCATAACTAGAACAGTGCCTGGCATACTGCAAGAGCTTAATAAATTATTTGCTGCAAATGAAGGAGAGTCATTGGGTGGGGTGGGATTGAGGTGTGTATGATGATTCTGATACAACCTGAGTTAACTGCCATGAAACTAAAACGTGCTTTAGAGCTCACAGGCATTTAACATTCGCAGCCCTAATTTTCACTGCTATTAAATGGTGTAGTTGGTCTCAATAATCCTAAAAACTCTTCTGGTAGTAAAATGTTCTCAGCCTGTGAATGGTCCAGTTTCAAGGCCAGCTTCACAGCTCTTGGCATTCTGAACCCAGGCCAGATTGCATGCTTCTTAAGTGGCAGGATTGCCTGTGCTGAGGAGCCTCGGAAGGAGGAGACTGTGTCCTTCCCGTCCTGGTGTTTGCCTCCCTTGCTTAGGTTATCATGACCTCCAGTCTGGGCTAGTAAATGAGGAAAGAGCCACAGTTCCACTTCTAATGTTTAGGAAAACATTTTGATGGACTTCTGATTGATAGAGGCAGATTCCATCTCCTTCTCTCTCTCTCTCTCTCTCTCTCTCTCTCTCTCTCTCTCTCTCTCTCTTTTTTTTAATGACAGAGTCTTGCTCTGTCACCCAGGCAAAAGTGCAGTGGCATGATCTTTGCTCACCGCAGCCTCAACCTCCCAAGCTCAAGTGATTCTCTCACTTCAGCCTCCTGAGTAGCTGGAACTACAGGTTCGCACCATCATGCCCAGCAAATTTTTGTATTTTTCACAAAGACAGGGTCTTGCTATGTTGCCCAGGCTGATCTTGAACTCCTGAGCACAAGTGATCCACCTGCCTCGACCTCTCGAAGTGTTGGGATTATAGGAATGAGCAACCACACCCCCCCATATTTTTTAAATTTTTATTTTATTTATTTTTTGAGATGAAGTCTTGCTCTGTCACTCAGGCTGGAGTGCAGTGGCGCAATCTTGGCTCACCAAATCGCCCCCCAGGTTCAAGCGATTCTCCTGCCTCAGCCTCCCAAGTAGCTAGGATTACAGGTGTGTGCCTCCACACCCAGCTAATTTTTACATTTTTAGTAGAAACAGGGTTTCACCATGTTGGCCAGACTGGTCTCAAACTCCTGACCTCAGGTGATCCACCCACCTCGACCTCCCAAAGTGCTGGGATTACAGGCATGAGCCAATGTGCCCAGCTCATATATATTTTTTAACAATAAAATGTTCATTGTATAAAATAATATAAAATACACAAAATCAAATGAAAAATGAAAATCATTCATAATCTCACCAACCAGAAATAACTGGTGTTTATATTTGTGTGCATTTCCTGCAGGCTTTATCTCTGTAGATACACCTGGTATAGGTATGTATATTTATGTTTATAAAAATGAGATTGTATAATATATATCAATTTGCAATGACTTAAATAAGCTTTAAATTTTATTATAAGCATCTTTCTATGTCAGTAGATCTTCATTAACATCACTATTTTAAATTCTGGTCTGGCCCGATATTACAGCCTCCTGTGTTTTCTAATTTCTCCCCAGTCTATGGCCAAATTAGTCTGCCTGAAGCATAACATGGATCACGTTACTCTCCTGTTGAAACCCTTTCAAATGTTTTCCACTCCCCATTTTTTATAGATAAAGTCCAAATTACTTGACCAGGCTGGGTGCAGTGGCTCATTCCTGTAATCCCAGCACTTAGGTCAGCCAAGGTGGGTGGATCACTTGAGCTCAGGGGTTTGAGATCAGCCTGGGGAACATAGTGAGACACCCTCTCTATTTAAAACAAAACAAAACAAAAAACAAAAGCAAACAAATAACTTCGCCTGAAATTCTAGACCCTCCATGATACAACTCTGCCCCAACCTGCTTTTCCATGTCATCTTCCATTACTTTCCCAGCTGTATCTGATGGTCTAGGGAAAAGCCTGATGCTTCTCAAGGACCTTGATACCTTTTCCCGCCTCTGCTCAAGGGTCTCTTCCATTTAGAATGCTGTCTCCTGCTACTCCCCAGCTACAGGAACCCCAGGCCACCTCATAGGCCTTGCTCAGATGCCACCTTCTTCAGAATAGTCTTGTTTCTCTCCAGTAAGTATGCTAGCAATTTATTTTCTAGAGGTTGCCCCTTCTAAGGTACAAGCTAATCTTCTCACGACATTTATCGGTTTCAGTTGACCACTCATTTTAATAGGGAGCTTGCAGGAAAAAGATACCTGAATCATGCCTTTCGTAAACCTATCAGCCTCAGTGCAGAATCTGGCTCTCCTTGGTTTTGTGCTATTACATTGACAAATACCTCTTAATAAATCCCCTGAGCTTACATTACTCAGTTTGGGGATTGTGAGACTCAACAACTGGATGAGATGCTAGATGGTTTGCTGGTTGTGGGCAGCTCATATTGAACGAACTCAATTTCCTGGGTTAGCTCTTCAATGCTCACATTGGCATTCAAAGCCCAGACTCCCTTTAATGTCTGAGAAATTCAATTTCCTCAGCTTTTGAAGTCAACTCTGTGGGTGCACAGCATTTCAAAGCTGCAAAAACAGCAAAGAGGAGGACAGGAGGGACATTTTACCCAAGAGAAATTCAGAGTTCCAATAGCGTTCCTCGTGGGTATTGACTGATTTAAGGGTGATCAGGGCATAAACATGCAGTTCTCCCTCCCCCTGAGGCTGCCTGGCCAAGTTGCTTGGCTGACCTTCATTCATTGCTGATCCTGTAAGCTTCAAGCTCCACATAGAAGAATCACTGGGATCATCTCCACACTCTCCCTCAGCCTTTGTTCTTGATGATGGTGTCATAAAGAATTTTTCTGGACTCTAGCTCCTGTCAGATTCAGTTTTCTCTTTTTACTCTAGTGTCTCCCTGAGTGATCTCATCCACTCTCATGGCTTTTAATGCCACCTATATGGTGACAACACCCACATTTATATGTCCACGTAAGACCTGTCTTTGGAGCCTAGGTCCATCTGTCCAATCACCTACTTGTCATTACCATCTGGATATTGACCTGGTATTACAAACTCTACATATTCAAAAGGAATTCATGGCTGGGCGTGGTGGCTCATGCCTGTA